GCTCTGAATTCTGAATTCAGAATTCTGAATTTTGTCGTCGCTGGAAGAAGTGTCTTGTGAACTGAGCCACGTGGGGTTGGGGGTGTGTGTGGGGGGTGGGGGAAGTGGGGGTTGATTATTGTTGACTTGTGTAGTTGAAGGAGGGAGTGTGTGGGGTTGGGGTGGGGGTGCTAGGCGGGGATTGGCGGTTAGCTGGTCAAGGTTATGGCAACGTCGGACGTTGAGGTGGGGGGGAATGTGGGTTTGGGGTTCGGTTGTGGTTGAGCGAGGAGGATTAGAGAGGGAGGAATGGTGTGGGTTTGGGGGTGAGGAAGTGGTGTGGACATGCTGGGAGTGGGGGAAGGAGAAGGGGTTCGATATGGGGAAAGAGGTAGACAGGTTTTGAAATTCAAAATTTCAAAAAGCGTAACGGTAACCGTGTAACCGCTTTTCCAGAAACTTCTCGGATGCCTCTGAAGCTTCGACTCTTCCGGTGATACCAAATGTCGGTTAGTGAAAATCTTTCGGTCAACAGCTTTGTTCCCGTAATTGCTAGCCGAGGCTGACAAGGATGAATATTGTAGCCACAATTCCCTGCTCAAAGGCCGAAATACTAACATCCGTTAACCTGTGGCGCGGGTTCGATTCCCGCACGAGGCAGAAACAAATGGGCAAAGTTTCTTTCACCCTGAATTCCCCTGTTACCTAGCAGTAAATAGGTACCTGGGTGTTAGTCAGCTGTCACGGGCTGCTTCCTGGGGGTGGAGGCTTGGTCAAGGACCGGGCCGCGGGGACACTAAAAAGCCCCGAAATCAACTCAAGATAACCTCAAGAGAGAGATAACCTGGCGCGAATATCGCGAACAATGGTAATTGCGGTAAGGGAAGAGCGCATTATGCAGCGCGGAGAGCGCGATCTGTCACTGTCCACGCAAGTTTCACGCCCCGCGAGAGAGAAATACGCGACCGCACTTTACACAGAACACTGTGTGAACATCAGAGGTTCCTACGGCTGTTCAACATCCTCCCAGCAAACATAAGAAATATTTGCTGGAATGGAACTATGAGGGGTGAAAGCGCCAAGCCATTACGACTATACAGCACTTGGAAGGGGTCAAGACAAGGATTTGGGATGGGAAAGATAGGGTGCCCAATCACTTGGACGGTCGGGGATTGAACGCCGACCTGCATGAAGGGAGACCGTCGCTCTACCGTCCAGCCCAAGTAGTTGGACAATATTTGCCGGAATAGAAGTCAAAGTATTCTAGAAACAATTAGATATTTACCTGCAAGGAGTGTCGGACCAACCAGGCTGTGGTGGATATGTGGACCTGCGGGTCGCTCCCAGCAACAGCCTGTTGGACCAAGCTATCACACGTCAGGCCAGATCCCAGGTCGTAGTTAAGAAACGTAACAATTAACACCCTTAAGTTAATGGTAGTTAAGTAGTTAAAGGGGAGCCGGTCGGCCGAGCGGACAGCACGCTGGACTTGTGATCCTGTGGTCCCCGGGTTCGATCCCAGGCGCCGGCGAGAAACAATGGGCAGTTTGTTTCACCCTATGCCCCTGTTACCTAGCAGTAAAATAGGTACCTGCGTGTTAGCTGTCACGGGCTGCTTCCTGGGGGTGGAGGCCTGGTCGAGGACCGGGCCGCGGGGACACTAAAGCCCCGAAATCATCTCAAGATAACCTCAAGATAACCCCCCCCCCCCACTTTCAGCACAAGAAGTAGGTGAATAAATTACCTGGTTTTATTATATTAATTAATATTAATTAATTAATTAATTATATTAATTATATTAAACACCAATTTGAGATTATACCCGAACACTACATTTAAAGTTATGGTCAAACCCGAACACCTGTTTACGCGCATATTATTGTTAATTGCCTATTAACCTGTCTTTATAAAACACAGTTTACCATCACTTCTCTGTCAGTTCGCATGTCTGTTTTACAGTTAAAATATCGTTAGGATATTTACTGACGCTGCAAAGACAAAAAAAAATGTACTAAGTGGCATTTTTTTTGACACCAAACAGGTATTTCCTGTCGAAGTCTTTCGTCGACAGAGATAATGTATCTAAGCTTAAGCTTGTCGGTTTATTTACAGCGCCAGCTTCTTGGCCCTTCCGCTAGGGGGGGGGGAGGGTAGTGTGGTTAATAATATCCTCCGCTTGGGTCGGTTGCATATATATATTCATTTTGACTGTGACTTTTAAAAGTTGATAATTTTACCGTGGTGAATTGAGGTCTTGTGCTCGTCTCTGGATATGTATATGTGTGCATGATGTGTCTAGCTATGTATATGTATTCTAAGACGCGTGGATCTGGTTCACTCATTTCAAGGGGGAGAGAGAGAGAGAGAGAGAGAGAGAGAGAGAGAGAGAGAGAGAGAGAGAGAGAGAGAGAGAGAGAGAGAGAGACAGACAGACAGACAGACAGACAGACAGAAAGACAGAGACAGACAGACAGAAACAGAGAGAGACACATAGACAGACAGAGACAGGCAGAGAGACAGAGAGAGAGAGAGGAACGCTAGACCGCGCAAGCGAGAGATTTCAACGCACTCGTAGATTCCAATCCCTTGGTAAATGTCTTCATAAAACTTGTTTAATCTGTGGTTAGGCAATTGAGCGCGCGACAACCATTGTCACGCGACAGGGAGTCGTGTTCCCGACGCATTAATACCTCCTATAACGCCAAATTAGCATATGTGAAACGTCTATCTTTTTTATCTTGAGATGTGAAAGGTGAAGCAGGTTTTAAACACATCTACAAGGTGTTTTATGCCCGGGAAGGTGAGTTGATGGAGGTTTTTTCCCCCCAGTTGTGATTAACTAAAAACCCCATTTTGGTTTTTATTAATGATGGCTATTAACGATGGACTGGCGAGTTTGTGGAGGCGTAATTTATAGTTTCTCATCTGGGCTTAATTAAACACGTCTTATATTTAATACTAGGCGTTATGTAGGCAGTTACGCTACGCAAATGAGCTCTTAGTAATCCAGAATGACGGCAGACTTAAGAGCGCTCTTAATAAACGGCAGAGCTTGCGTTATTGGCGTGATTGGATAAGGGTGCCTAGTCGTAAGGGCCATGTCAGATCTACATAACAAGGTGTTAAGAGCCTTTGTTATGCTAATGTCTTTTCTGGAAAGAGATCTGGATGCGAGTTCGTGTCCATTGTATAACCTCAATTATTAGGTATTAGGTGAGGGGTGAGACCTCCGATTGGCGTGAAGTCACCAGTGGAGTCCCACAGGGCTCTGTACTCTGTCCTATCTTGTTTCTGATATATGTAAATGATCTTACACTCCGCCTTTGAGAGGGAGCTTGATAAGCACCTGCAAAGCCTATCGGATCAACGAGGCTATGATTCCTACGCCAAATTGTTTCGCAGTGGCGCCCAAAAGCCTAGTTCACCTGACCATTCTGCAGGAGCCCATGGGCCAGATTCACGAAGCAGTTACGCAAGCACTTACGAACGAATAATAACTTACGAATGATTTTAAACAAAGCCGCCGAAGATTGACAAAAAGATGTACAGGGTCGTTAGTTCTTGCGTAACTGCTTCGTGAATCTGGCCCCTGGGCATGGTGTAGCCCTCTGGTGGCAGATATTAGAACCATTGTTACTGGTCCGTATAGCCCTCTGGTGGCAGATATTAGAACCACTGATACTGGTCCGTGTAGCCCTCTGGTGGCAGATATTAGAACCATTGTTACTGGTCCATGTAGCCCTCTAGTGGCAGATATTAGAACCATTGTTATTGGTCCGTGTAGCCCTCTAGTGGCAGATATTAGAGAACCAACTCTATAACTTTCTCTGATAGAAGGGAACCTTGAGCAAGATATCAAAAACAATTTGGTGTTTTGATAATTATTGCAAGAATGACTTAATGAATTGAAGTTTTAAGACTTCCTTAGAAAATAATAAGGCTTGTGATGTTCAATAAAGATGTTAACATTCTCGACTGCATCTTTCCCTTCTGTTTCGTGTTCCCTCTCTCTCTCTTTCCCTCTCTTTCGTGCTCTTCCTTCTGTCTCTCTCCCTCCTCTGCCCTGAGCACTTCGTCACTGACAGAGACAGGTAGTAATTAAAAAAGCGAATACATTACTCGTGTTCACGCAAGGGACAGTGGTGGTCCCTTGGCCCTTAGGGGGTGAGATAGTAGATTGTTGCTGTCTTGGCTGTGATGATTTGTAAATTATCCCTCTCTGTAATCTCTGTCTGTCTGTCTGTCTGTCTGTCTGTCTCTCTGTCTCTCTGTAATCTCTCTCTCTCTGTAATCTCTCTGTCTGTCTGTCTCTCTGTCTGTCTGTCTGTCTCTCTGTCTCTATGTAATCTCTATCTCTCTGTAATCTCTCTGTCTCTGTCTCTGTCTCTCTGTAATCTCTCTCTCTCTGTAATCTCTCTGTCTGTCTGTCTCTCTGTCTGTCTGTCTGTCTCTCTGTCTCTATGTAATCTCTCTCTCTCTAATCTCTCTGTCTCTGTCTGTCTGTCTCTCTCTCTCTCTCTCTCTCTCTCTCTCTCTCTCTCTCTCTCTCTCTCTCTCTCTCTCTCTCTCTCTCTCTCTAGCAGGTAAACATGAAAATCAGATGGATAATGAATTAATAAAGATATTAGATAGGATAAAAATATATAAATAATAGGATAAAGGATAATAATTTAGTAATGGTTCGTGAATATGTTATATGTAAGTGTTAATTATAGTGTATGATAGCACACATACACAATGTTAAATTGTGCTGTATATGACGTTAAATACACATTGCGGGGTAATTTTTACGTGTAGTGTGGATGTCGATGTACATGTTTTAAATCACACAGAGAGATCACACTAACGTGATCCACAAGGGGCCGTGACGAGGATTCGAACCTGCGTCCGGGAGCATCCCAGACACTGCCTTAATCGACTGAGCTACGACAGGGTTAAAAGGGTTGAAACCGAAGTTCTACTGAACTTACTGGATCGTGGATTTGTTCATGTTTTAAATGTCTGTCTGTCTTCGCTTGCAGGAAAGTGTGTCGGAACTGCAAATGCCCCCGTGAAGAGCATTGTGGAGGGGAGATGACCACCACCACCCCGCCCGCCCTCACCGACCTCCCACACGCCCACAACCTGCAGCAGCAGCATGACACGCCCATCAAGAAGCCCTCGGGTGTGGGCGGGGTGTTTGGGGGCGTGGGCGGCCTCATCACAGATCCCCAACGACACAGCCAGAGTGATGACGACTCCGGTTGTGCTCTTGAGGAGTATACGTGGGTTCCTCCTGGTCTCAAACCTGAGCAGGTCAGTACTATATTGTCTCTCGCTCTGCTGGACATTATCCTGTAGCGCAGTAGTCTACGTCCTCGTCTCACACCCGTGAGAAGTTGTCATACATTTTATTCTCTGTATATATATATATATATATATATATATATATATATATATATATATATATATATATATATATATATATATATATATATATATATAATATATATATATATATACACACGTGCGAACAAGCCTGAATGGAGTCATATATACACACATATGTAAATATCCAAGATGTGTAAATATTTCATTGAAGGTGATCCACTACTTGAGATTTTAGCCATATATCCCCAGTTTGATAAATATATGTAGAAAAATGATTGTAACCTATCCACCGCTGCCTACTGGATGGGGGGGGGGTGTGCAGGATAAACATACCAATTATGTCACTAGCTCTCCACATATGTCACTAGCTCTCCACATATGTCACTAGCTCTCCACATATGACAATAGTTCACCATATATGTCACTACCTCACCACATGTCAGCTCGGACACTGTGTAACTAGCGTCTCAAAAGATTGTTATTTGCTTAGCTAAACGAACTAGAGGGTTCAGTTCCTGAACCGATTATGTGCCTCTGTAATCCTTTACACCACCGCCCACGGGATGGGTATGGGGTGCATAATAAAGAAAGAAATTGAAATTGAATTGGGGGTCCTCACTGTAAACGTGGGGGGGGGGCATGGCAGATATCTCAGAATATACAAATTAAAGATACTAGAAGGGTTAAGTTCCAAACGTGTATAATATTACAACATACTGGAGTAAGAGAGATGGGATTCGAACCCCCAGAATTGCCGAGTGTGAGTCGGGAACGAACCCGACTCTGCTACCGAGGCCCCTCATTGAAAAGAGTGTAGCTGGAAGCTTCCTAGAGAGAGAACTGGACACGTTTCTGCCGGTGTTAGTGGATCAGCCTGACTGTGATGGCTGTCTCCCTTTGTGCTACGAAGGTAAACAGCCCCACAGGCCAAGGAAGGCTAGCCACAGGTCAGGAGCCAGTAGGTCAACAGGATATGCCGGGAAGTAGGTTCGAAAGTAGAAGAGGCAGAGGAAGGGAGGGAATAGAGAGGGAGGGGGTAGGGGGGATAGCTGCCCTCTAAGCCTAAACATTAAACAAAAACTATTCCCCACGCTAGGGGGGGTAGGGGGGTGGAGGGTTGGAGGGGTGGTTTTAGTAAGGAGTTAAAGTGATGTCGACCAACATTCCCTCACCTCTTTCCCCCCTCCTCTTCCCCCTTCCCTACCCCCTACCTTCCCCTACCCTCCCCTACCCTCCCCTACCCTCCCCTACCCTCCCCTACCCTCCCCTACCCTCCCCTACCCAGGTAACAAAACACTGCCCCTATCTCCCCTACCCCACATTCCCTGACCGTTCTCTCACCCTTTCACCTCTACACCTAGAGTAGGAGGAGGAGGGGGGGGTAGGGGCAAGGCGCACAACCCTTCCCCTCCCCCTCCAAAAAAAAGGTATATTAGTAGTTTAGCTGTTTGCTAACTGAACAAATCCCAAAAAACTATTAAAAGCCTTAATTGGTGGTGATTAAGATGATTAGGGAGGGTGGAGGGGGGAGGGTAGTTAGTAAAAAGCCAGACCAATTAGCGAGCTCGTGACGTTATCGGTAGGTTGTTACCGGGCTGTTAACCATGTTGACAAATCGTGTCTTGCTCTTAACGCCAAGAGGTTAGCAATTGAGCACAAGACTTGTGGTACTTCTCCAAGAGCAAGAGTCATGGTCGGCCGAGCGGACAGCACGCTGGACTTGTGATCCTGTGGTCCAGGATTCGATCCCAGGCGCCGGCGAGAAACAATGGGCAGAGTTTCTTTCAGCCTATGCCCCTGTTACCTAGCAGTAAAATAGGTACCTGGGTGTTAGTCAGCTGTCACGGGCTGCTTCCTGGGGGGTGGAGGCCTGGTCGAGGACCGGGCCGCGGGGACACTAAAAAGCCCCGAAATCATCTCAAGATAACCTCAAGATAACCAGGCCGGGCTTGGGGTGCAGAACATGTTGCAGAATCCAGTCCAGGTATTCTCCAGGTATTCTTAGAAGAATCGTGTCTGGGGCTTGATGATGCTGCTTATCTTGAGAGGTTATCTTATAGGCGTACAGGTGCTGCTGCTGCTGCTGCCAGACGTACAGGTGCTGCTGCTCCTGCTGCTGCTAGACGCACGAACCCCTCCACTATACCCACCATCTTGCCCACACCTGCAGCTTCAGTTCCTGTCCATGAAACGTTAATGCTTATAATTAGCGCTGGGTGATGCCCGGGCACACCTGTTATAGTACCCAGTGTAGCGTGACGACACCTGCTGCTGCGCCTTCTGCTGCTCTCCTGGTCTTCCTCTCCTCCTGTGGGTACCCGCATGTGGGTACCCCTTCCCTAGGGCCCGGACCCACATGTGGGTTCGTCTCCTCGCTAGGGCTCGGACCCATGGGGCCAGACGCCATAAATCCCACACATGAAAATCATCTTTTCATTAAATCATTCGCTGTGGCCGTTATTATAAGTCTCTAGATTTTTTTTTACTCCGTTGCTTCCTCCGTCTTACTACTTGGGCTGGACGGTAGAGCGACGGTAGAGCTTCGTGCAGGTCGGCGTTCAATCGCCCAGACCGTCCATAAGTGGTTGGGGAGGGTCCGTCTAATTACCACAAGCTACACAAAGCTTCCTGGCAATACGTTAGTAATGAATAAATATGATATGTTAGGTTAGGCTGACCTGACCTAACCTAACCTAACCTAACCTAACCTATCCTATCCTAACCTAACCTAACTTAACCTAACCTAACCTAACCTAACCTATCCTATCCTAACCTATCCAAACCTAACCTAACTTAACCTAACTTAACTAAACTAAACCTAACCTAACCTAACCGACGCATGGATCGTCGACTTGATTTGGCGTCACCAGCTTTTTATTTTCGTCTAATTTCTTTATAAAAAGATACTTTTTCAGATTAAAATGATGTTTTTTCGTGTTGTACATTCAGCACCAACATTATAATGAGTAAATATATCATATTTATTCATTACTAACGTATTGCCAGGAAGCTTTGTGTAGCTTGTGTAGCTTGTGGTAAATAGACGGACCGGTTGGGGACCATTCCTTCCTCCTGTTCCATCCTAAATCTTTAATCTGATTCCCCTTTCCCAGTGCTATATAGTCGTAATGGCTTGGTGCTTTCCCTTGATAATTCTTTCTCTCTGCTTTCTCCTCCTTTTTCTCTCCTTTCTTCCTTCCTTCTTCCTTCCTTTCTTTCTTTTCCTGTCCTTACTCTGTCTCTCATTTAATCCTGTGGGACTGCTCATTGCTCCTATCCCTTGGGACGTCCTGTGCCCTGCCCCTTTCCCCATCCTCTAAGACTGCCCCTCTTCCTCATCCACAGTAATTGTACCCTCTCACTATCCTCATAAACATCCCTCCCTGCCCTATCCTGTTTCATACCCCCCCCCCCTACCCCCCTGGGACGGTGTACCGCGGGTGAAGATTTTGGAGCTTCCTGGTTGTTTGTGAAAGCACACAGCACTCACAGGTGAAGGTTAGGTTAGGGTATCCACAGCCTGGTTGATCAGTCCAGCAACCAGGAGGCCTGGTCGACGACCGGGCCGCGGGGACGCTAAGTCCCGGAAGCACCTAAAGGTAACCTCAAGGTAACCCCTTCAACGAGGGGATTAATTACAGATATTAATAAGGTCTTCGATTGGGCAACTGAAAATAACATGATGTTTAACGGTGACAAGTTCCAGGTACTGAGGTATGGCGGAAACGAGGAAGTTAAACGAAGCACAGGGTACAGGACACAGGGTACAGGACACAGGGTACAGGACACAGGACACAGGGTACAGGACACAGGGTACAGGACACAGGACACAGGGTACAGGACACAGGGTACAGGACACAGGGTACAGGACACAGGGTACAGGACACAGGGTACAGGGCACAGGGTACAGGACACATGGTACAGGACACAGGGTACAGGACACAGGGTACAGGACACAGGGTACAGGACACAGGGTACAGGACACAATCAGACCTACTCATAGAAGGAAAGCAACATGTAAAAGATCTGGGAATTATGATGTCTGACGACCTGACATTTAGTGAACATAACCGAGCAATTATAGCGACGGTGGCCAGGAGAATGATAGGATGGATTATGAGAACGTTCACATCCAGAGATCCCACAGCAATGTTAATACTATTTAAATCACTAGTGTTGTTCCGTCTTGAGTACTGCTCGGTACTCACTTCCCCCTTCAGAGCAGGAGAGATCTCTGAAATAGAGGGAATACAGAGAACATATACGGCACGCATAGACACGATAAAACACCTAAATTATTGGGACCGTCTCAAAGCTCTCAAAATGTACTCTCTGGAAAGGAGACGAGAGAGAGGTATCAAATAATATGTACATGGAAGATACAGGAAGGCCAGGTCTCAAATTTGCATAGAATAATCACATGCTGGAGCGAAAGATACGGAAGGAAATGCAGAATAGAACCAGTGAGGAATAGAGGTGCCATAGGCACAATCAGAGAACACTGAACATCAGAGGTCCACGGCTGTTCAACACCCTCCCAGCAAGCATTATAAATAATGCTGGAACAAAGATGGATCTATTTAAGAGGCACTTAGATAAGTTCTTGCCAAGAAGTGCCGGACCAATCACGCTGTAGTGGATATGTGGGCCTGCGGGGCCGCTCCAAGCAACAGCCTGTTGGGCCAAGTTATCACAAGCCGAGCCCTGGCCTCGGGCCGGGCTCGGGGGAGTAGAAGAACTTCCAGAACCCTCTCCAGGTATGTTCCAGGTACCCATGCACCGTCCTTCGGTTCACCCTTCCCTCCACCCCTCCCTTCCGTACCCTCCCTTCCCCCCTCCTTTCCATTCTCCACAAATCCCCTCCGACACAGGATTGGTCCAAGCCGAATCCCTGATTTATCTTCGAGAATCTTACCTTGTCAGGC